GCTAATATTAGCCGATTACTTGCCTAATGGCACCTTTTTGCTTTAGAGTTTGTTTTGTTTGAGAAACTTGTAATTGTGAAGTTTCTCCAGGTCCGGTTTAATCAGAAAATCTCTTATCTTGTTGACGTTCTTAAAGTGATAAAATGCTGATTTAGTAACTATTTGGACATTGCTAGAACTGAGATCTGAGTACATTAGTACACCAAAGCTATGTGCTAGTTCTTTAAACTTTAGGGTTCTTGAATCCAGATCATCAGCCAGTCTGTGCCTCTCACTTCTATTCCCAAATAAAACAATCTCTGTTTTATCTTTATTCAACTACAGAAAGTTTTGTTTAGACGTCCTCAAGACACTTACAAAGTGAGTCAAGGGGACCATAGTTGTCTGGGGAGAGGGCTAAGTTAATTTGTGCATCATGTGCATAGCTGTGGTAAGATATCCCTGAGTCTTTGTAGTATTTGGCAAAGAGGAAGCATGTATAAATTAAATAAGAGCAGCACAAAAATTCAACCCTGGGGGGCACCACAGGTCACAGGCACTCTCTCTGCAACATTATTTTCTATTTCGACAAAGTAGTCCCTTCCTCGCAGGTATGAACCGAACCATTTTAGAACAGTTACTGGAGGGATTCCATCAAAGGATGGAAACAACATTACATTAAACTGTGTAAGAAAAACCAGCCTGCATCGATGGTGTGTACCTGTCCTGGAGCTGTTTCTGATATGTTTTACTTTCACTGTGTCTGATAGAACAGTAAATTATAAAAAAGTACATAAGTTTATATAAAAAGTACATAGGTTTATATGAGAATCGATGTAAACAAAAAATTCTGACTGTAATCATACTAGAGTGAGGATGCAGGAGAAGAGCTGGAGCAAGTTAGAGCTGCAGTGGAGAAAAGCGTGTTTTGTTCCACGTCAGAAAAGCGCCTCTGGACTGCTATAAGTACAAGTCATAGTTTTTGCTCCTTGCCTCTCTGTTTTAACCACAGTCTCTGTAGCAAAGTGCTAGCAGGAATCACAACCAAGGCTAATACATCCAATAAGCTCATTTCTGGAGTTTTACATGTTGTTAGGGGTATTTTATGTTTGGCTGGTTGAGCTGTAGTTAAATGCCCTCTAAAACCAGACATACACTGTGTGATTTTAGAAATATTGTTCTTTGCTAACTCACACTGTACATTTGAATGGACCATTGTGTACAGGCAAAGCCAAAGATTTATGTGTGAAACACAGCCTCTACAGACGACTCTGTCTGTGGACAGTTTGAAAAAAGCTTTCATTCGAAATAATATGCTGTACAGAGCAGCGCTTCTAACACTGTGCAGTGAAGCTAAAGCTAGACGCTGATATACACGGTAGGACAATAGGGTCTCTCTATGGTTTATTTTACCAAAATAAATCACCATATTAAAGTTTATACCTTGCTGCTGTATTCAGTCAACCAAAGTAAGGTCGGCATAGAAGGACTTCGGTAGGAAATGTTGACTTTTTCCGTCTCCGCTGTTGGCCTGCGTATCTTGTGATTGTGTTTAAAATGAGCTTAAATCACATAGCGTGTTCCTGGTGGGAATCTGCCGAGGCGGAGTGTTTAAAGTGACCGCCAGCTTTGTGTCCGACTGTCAAGAGTCAGTAATACTCCTCTGTGTCAGCAGAGGTTTTCACTGCATTTGTTCTTTTGCACGGCAGTGCACACTTGGCATTTTTATGAGCTCGATATTGGACCGATACTCGATAGCAGTAACAGTGTCAGTGCATCCCTAGTTCAAACAAGGCAATAGCATTGTCACAATAAATAGAATTAAAAAATATAAAGCTTCACATTTCCATGATGCACACTGTCATAGGTCTGCGAAATCGCAATGTCTTGATGCACTGTTATACTCCTAATTATAACGCAAAAAGATGGCGAAAATTCAGACACAAGCTGTTCTGACCATTTGGAGGTGCTGTTTTTATTCCATTCCCACAGCTGAAAAAGTTATTATTAATCTATCTGGAAGACCACACTGATGATTCAATGTCAAAACTATTGACAGATACAATTACGTTTACTCTACGGCAGGGGTGTCCAATACTGGTTGTGAAGATCTACCACTCTGAAGAGTTCAGATCAAATACAGCTGTTGGTAATAGTCAGATGCCCCTGAAAGCCTTCATTAACTTACATGGATCAGGTGTGTTAGATGAGGGTTGGAGCTAAACTCTGTAAGGTGGTATATCTCCAGGAACAAGATTAGGCTTACCTTGCTTTAAGGTAAGATAAGCCTGATCCAAGTTACTGTAATTACTAATACTAATTTTAATAAGATGTCTAGTAATATAGAACATAACAGAACTGTGGTTAGATCAGTAAGCTAGCAAAGTTAGCTTTTCTTAGCAGAGCTAGTGATAGTTAGCTTTATTAACTAGAACTGGACTTTACAATGCTTATTTTTGCATTTAAAAATATTCTATGCAAATAACTATTAATGTACTCATATGTACAGCTATACTATTCCTTGGTATACACAGAAGATTGCTGAGAGCTTGTGTATAAGATTAGCTCCAATATTAGCTTTAACGTTAGCTCATTTGAAGAGCAGCTTCCATTCCTCAAACCTACTCTTTATTACCCATGAAAACCATAAGAAATCACTTAAACATCCAGTAGCTAAGAGCTACCAGCTTTTTTTTTCCTTTTTGTGCTTTAAGTTGGCCTAATTTTGTATTGTGTTTGCTCTGAACATCCTGTAAAGCCACTTTATTTTTGAATAATAAAATTCTTTTTAAATGTACTCCTCTGCATGTTTATAAATCGGCAAGCAACCTGAAAGTTTGTTGTCCGGAACCAAATTTCTACTGTTTCAAACAAATCTTTGTTTTTTAAAGTGTCATGCAAATATAGGTAAGCACATGTGCTTATATAAATAAGATCACTAAAGTAAACCTAGTGATTGAAACAATGTTTTTAACACAACTGCTCAAATTCCTACTAGTGAACTATTTTATTATAAATACATTCACATTCAATTTATCAATAATCTTAATGTTAGTTCTGACAAAAAGAACCACTTCATCCGCCTTGTTAGGATATTCATTACAAACTTTACAGAACATCTCAGGTACAAAAGGGTCAAAATCGACCCATTAGGGAATGAATTTGCTTCGTATTCCTGCGCGTCTCGCTTTTAACGTCATTTCTCAACAAATAATACAATTGGTTTGTTTAACACAAATAAATAGTTTCATTTTTGAATGGCGAGCGTTTAAATGCGAAAGCGAACTGAATTTGGCATGTTACGTTGTTCTGTTAATACACTGCGCCCCCCCCCCATCACCAAAATGTAAGTGATTTTTCGTATTGCTGTCCCGATGTCACATTTGCCCCGGGCATTCAGGCAATCGTTACTGTTGAACCCTGATTCCAAAAGGTGTGACAATGTGATGTCTGGAGGCAGTGCTGCCAGGAGAATTTTATGATTTCAACATGAAAACCACGCATCATTGTGCACTCTGACATTAGCTACAATACATGAGAATACAATGTCACTTGTTCTGCTTTCCCAAGAATTCTGACTTAATTGTAAAAAATTATAAACATTACAAAACCAACCCAATGTCAGAAGCTCAGTCTGTTGAAAATATTGGCATTCTAATCACTCTCATTGTCCATTATATTACCCTGCTTGGTATACTGGCCATAAGTCTCTTTATGGTGTGTCGTGCTTGGGTTATCATCGCCGCCTGTGGGTTTGTCAACGGTGCCTTAAGTTTTCATCCGAAATTGATGCAGTTTTTGACAGCATGATTTTTGTCGTCTCTCGTTGTCTCAGTGAGCTGACTGTTTTGGTTTTGGATTGATTTACTCATACTAAAATGTCGGTTCACAAGCTATTAAAGAAAGAAATACGAATAAGTAACGTCACCGTCCACTGCATCGGTAACTAGCGTTAGCTAAGGTTAACGCTAGTGTATTTTCTTTCATAGTTAGCTAGCTAGCTAGTTAAAGGGTAAAATCTCACGTGGCAACAAACAAAAATAACAGAGTTTACCTCAAAATGAATTTGCTGCTGTCGCATCTGACGATAATCTGCTACACATCTTTGATGGCCCTTCGTTCTAGGGTCCTTTCTTTATTTCCCAAAGCTAGTTCCCGGAGCTAGCGTTAGCGAGCACTCTAATAACCGAATATTAGCGTAAGTTAGTTAACGATCTAGCTAGATAGCATCCATTGACATGCCTGCCGTTAGATAATTTCTCATCTTAATACCACTTATACTGGGTTTCAACGATATCACGACACACTCGAAATATGATTTCAGTCAACTTACTGCTATTGTGTGAAATTCACTGTTGTGGCTTGATAAATTTGACTTTTTGAATGCTCGACCTGGAATCACCTGAATAAATTCAACGACTTGCTTATATAAGCTTATATTTGGTGTCTGAGAGGGCAGGGGCCTTGCTCATTATACACTCAGCAAATAAATTACTGACCCTCTGGACCAGGTCTGGGAGAGAACATCAGGACAGAAGTGCTTTAAAATAGTATTTAAGGGTTTGTATGCATGACACATAGCAGAGCAGTATGGCAGTAGCCCAAGGAACCAAACCTGTTTTGAAGCATCTGCTTTCACGAGTTATTTCTGTCATTGAGTCCGTTATTATATTACAGTTACAGATTTCATTCATTCATTCATTCATTCTCTCTCTCATAATGACACAGGACCGCCATCTAGTGGCCAATATATATTATGAAAACACATTTACACGCATTTAAATTCCTCGTAATATTTTTTATTATGTGATATTACGAGATATAAAGTCACTAATAAACACAAAGTTTGTTTACATTTTTTTTTCAGGAAACACATTTCTAAAGTCTTCACCGCTTGAGGATGGCAGTGAGCTAATTATCATAACAAATTAGTGTTCGGTTCCAATTAGTTAAATTGCAGCAGGACGTCATAAATGGGCGATGGGCGGCAGTTGAGGCCTGCTAAACAGCATTAGCACGTTTGGCTGAGCTTTCCAGTGAACTATAGGCCACAGAGTGACACATAACGTCCTTAAAACATACTCCTATCTGATAACGTACAGTAACGGCCACTTAAAATGACAAACGATGGGACGAAAAAGAAAGGAAAAGCACCAAGAGACAAAAAATCGTCTAAAAGAAAAGGCAAGAGGAGGGAAACATACGCTGTGTATATTTATAAAGTTCTGAAGCAGGTAGGTCGCTGTAAAACACGTTAGAAAACGAGACTTGTTCACTTGTTTGTACATCAACACAGGTTCCGTTTCTGTAAGTTTCATGATTGCATAATTGTCATGTTCTGTTGTACAGATTCCAAAAATGTTCAGTTTAGTCTAATTAAGTTTTTGTTACATTTATGAATTGTAAAAGTCCGTGTATTGCTGTACACTAGCATATAGACTAGTTGTTTCGGGATGGTAAGATGTTTCAACACATAATAAAGGCTAGCCTATGATATGCCGTCAGAATTTCAAGATAGATCAGTCATCCTTGTCACATTTGTTAATGGCGTTATGGAGTTCCTCTTGGGCGTATCTTCTGTTTCCTTTTAACATCAGCTAACAGTAGTCCGCCGTTATACTAACACTGTACTATGTCATGTATTTTATCTTGGGCTTTTCTCTCCTACTTACTTAATGGTGTAATGATAGAAGGGTCATAGAATCATTTGCAATATTTTTGCTGTTGTATGTTTTAGCAAAGAATACTACACAAATCATATATTGGTGTGGAGTGTTTAATGAACATGAGCAGCTCCTCCAGGCTCACTGCCTGTGGAATCCACTTTCCAGGTCCACCCTGATACTGGCATCTCCAGCCGGGCCATGAGCATCATGAACTCCTTCGTAAATGATGTGTTCGACCGCATTGCCACAGAGGCCTCGAGACTGACCCAGTACAACAAGCGCTCAACCATCACCAGCCGTGAGGTCCAGACTGCCGTCAGGCTGCTGCTGCCTGGGGAGCTGGCCAAGCACGCTGTGTCTGAGGGGACCAAGGCTGTCACCAAGTACACCAGCTCCAAGTGAAAGGGCAAGAAGGCAGCCATTTCAAATACAAGAGTCTTGTGTTTGTGTTACAAAAGGCTGCTTAGTTTTTGCAATAAAAGCACAGAATCTTTTGGCAGCTTTTTTTTGCCATCCTTTCAGGGAGAGAGGCATTCTTTTACTTCACTGCAGCTTGTTGCACAAAGACTTCATTCCACAGAAGTCAAATAGTTGCTGCTAAATTGCCAGTGTTAAATTAACACCTACAGTGTTGAATGAACTGTTGCAGTGTTCAGCTGGACACAAGTGTTGGTCTTAGCAAAATCCAAGTTAAACTATGTTTAAGATTTTATTTGGGTTTTTAGAAGTCCTGGTTATTATTTAAAACACTAGTCAACTCTTAGATGAGCCACGGTAGTCTTAAATTGTGCATTGAAATGGTCCTTTAAATTATCATAGTTGAAATGGTGGCAAATGTCCTGGCAGGTTGAAATGTACACAAAAAAAAGTATTGCACTAGACATCATCATAATCAGTAGTTCAAAAGTTGCCACTAGATGGCAGTGCTTGCAAACTCTTAAGAATAAGGCCCTTTTTACCACACATATCAAATGAGCAACAGGAGTCCTAGGTGTTACAGTGCACACTGGGAATCCCTATTTTCCTCTCAGGGTCCACTGAAGAAAAACAGTGATCCTGCAATCTAGTCAAAATTTAAAATAAAAATATAAATTAGGATGTATGTCTTTCCTATCTACAGTTTATGTCCAGCAGATCCTCTAATTACCAAATTCAGCTACTTTAAGGTGCACCCATTCCTTACACAGTTGTTTAATTGCATGCATACACAGCTTGTGTATTCATAGAAAAGCATCACCAATAGAATGGTATGCTCTGGAGCAGATATACATGAGCCTGAGGTTACCATGCCCAGTGCCAAGTGTGTAGAGTATAGGTTCCTAACCCTGGTCCTGGAGTACCCTTGTCCTGCATGTTCTCCTGCTGTACCACACCTACTTTGGTTCAGGAAGGACTTGTTAATTAGCTGGATCAGGTGTGTTTGAATCAGGGACAAATACTAAAATATGCAGGGCTGGGGGTACAACTGGACCAGAGTTGGGAACCAGTGGTCTAGAGGGGCACTCTATATCCTTAAATTAATTCACCATTTTCAAACCCTTTATTCATGCATTAAGTAGTTTACTAATGTTACCAGCCAAATTTCCCCTAATTGGATTGTTGAAGCCTTAGCACTGTATATTCTAGCTGTAGAGAGCTTCATCATAACTATATCATGAAAATAAAATAACCACTTCCTACTGTGCAATATATGAGGGGCATCCAACATTGAACTATCAGTTTTTTTGCTGTGATCAAACCAGCAAACATAATTTTCTGTTGTTTCTCATTGAGCTGCAGTTGTGAATCATCATTAAGAAGCAAAAAAAAAAAAATGGTTGAAGGGGAATGTCCTTTCCTATAAGTTTATAAAGTACAGAGGTCACCCTCTTCCAAAATGAATAAACCCCTGGACAATCCCAAACCATGTTTCAAAACCACCACTTGCTAAAATTGACAATATATATACCATTGGTTCTGAATCCTGAGCGGCATACTACTAAACTCAATGTGTTAACAGTCTATCTTCCCATTTTCATATTAGGTGGCACTGAGCAGACATATTGAAGTTACTTGAATTTAGCATTAGACTATCCTAAGTTGCACAGTTGGATCATTAACCAATGATGTCAGCATCATAGCATATGTCCAGGGGATGCAGGTGTCTCTATTATGGCAGTTCCTGATTAGCACAGCTCAAAGTGAGTGAAATAATTTCACATGAAGAAAAACTGGACACAAAACATTTTATTTTATAGTACAAGTTACCTTAGTGAGTATCTGCAGTGACGTTCTGGTTTGTGACAATTTCATTAAGGAACTGAAGCAAACCAGTCTTATGGTTGTCCATATCATGCACAAAAGAAGGTAACATTAACATGTTTAATGAGGAACTACTGAGATGCCTTGTGTCCTTTTGCATTTATACTCCAAACTATCCATTTTGAAGCAAACCGAAACCAAACTGCTTATGGGTTCTCAGTCCACTTATTTGGTGTGCACCAGAGTTTGAATAGCAGCGTTCTCACATGCTCTAAGAAACAGCACTAACAGAGCATCAGGGTTCATGTTGATCGAACCAAACCTGCAAAGTCTGAATGCACAGTAATAGTTGTTTAATTTTATGGATAGTCTCAACACAGAACAGTCACTCATACACATTCAAAGTAGTCCTGAGATATCTGACAGAAAGTGACTTTCTCAGGCATAAGGCTTAGACTCTTATGCCTAAATCACATTGCTGGTCTTCATCTGATATTATTTGGACATTCAGACATGAGCCCTGTGATCATTTACTGAAATGGCTGCCTTAATATATGAATATGATTCAGATAAAAATTGAAACTATCAGGTCAAATGTAAAACCTTAAAAAAAATAATAATAATAAAATGACACATCTTTCTAAGCACATCTTTGCTCTCAGTGAAGTACTGAACGAGAAGAACTGCTAAGGTATATTGTAAAGAAAATTTTCTTACCATACAAATCTGAATGGAAACATTTCTATTTAACACAAGATATTTTGACAGCTAATATGGCTCTACCTTTCAGTTAAAATGGATACCGACCATTTTTTCTCAAATGATATTTTACAGATAATATTTTAATTTTCCTGACAACAGTTCTTCACTCAGTTTGTGCCAGCTATTTAAAAAAAAGGTGTAGCTGCAGTGTTCCAGATGTGGATAAAGCCTAGCTGTAGATGGGCAACAGAGATTCCCCATTGCAAGCTATAAATTAAGATACTGTAAATTACTATTAATGAAGTCAGCAAGATCAGAAATGTTGAAGCTGTGCAGTGTTATGAGTTGCCAGTAACAGGAAACAGAGAAAAAATAGTTTTGTTCCCTAAAGAACCCTTCAGTATATTATGTAAAGGTTCTTGGAAGAACTTTTAAATTATAAAATCTTTACCTTCTGTAAAGGTTTTTTACATCTTTGAAAGGTTCTTCACATTCACAAATATTTTTTTTTAAACATGGCTCTTTAGGGAACCAGAATACTGGCACCTTATTTTTGTAGTTCATTTACACATTTAAGGTATACTCTGTTATATGGTAGATTAACCATACTTTTTAACTAAGTATACTATATGCTATACATTATGTTCCGCTTCACTGTAAATGTCAGGCTGTACTCTACAAAAAGTGTGTCAAAGTAGGTTCCTTCCAGACCACAGCTCTGGATTAGCATTTTTCATTCAATTCATGAAAGCCTTGCCAATTAGCTGATGAGTTGAATCAGGTGTGCTTAATGACGCAGAACATTAAACTCTGCAGTCCCGTGGCTTGCAAAGACTGAAGTCTGACACGTATTCTCTATGTTATAGACTGTGTTAGACTGTACTCTGATTCTGCACTCAGAAAAAAAGGTACCAATCTGTCACTGGCGTAATGCAGCTGTGACAAACCAGACACTTGCGATATAAAACAGAGAAAAGGCTTTAATATTGAAAGGGCAGTTCAAAGTTAAATCAGCAAAGTTGGGCCAGGTGAAAACTGTGGGTTGAATAAGTAGATGCATGAACAAGGTGAAAACACAAAAAAACAAAAAACAAAACTCAGTGAATCAGGCAGACTAAACAGAAGGGCAAGGCAAAAAGAAAAAAGCGGTAATCACAAACAGGTCAAACACGTTAAAGACAAGTACAAGAGAACGCTTAGTATGCACACAGAAATGATGGCAATACTTCACAACACACATGACAAACAAAGGAGTATTTATACAAACATAAACAGTCAAACACAAGTGAAAGAAATCAGAACTCTAGCTGCTAAGAAACTGTCCGGAGTTGGGTGATGGAATGCATGTAACGGTGACATGTTGGTCAAGGGAATTGTTGGAAGTGGAGAGTCATTAGAGGCAGAGGGCGAATCTGGAAGTGGGACAACTGGGATGATACCATTAGGAGTGTGTCTTCAGTACCTTTAGTTATGGAAAATAGCCGTACAATATTTCATTGTACAACCCCATTTCCAAAAAAGTTGGGATTCTGTACAAAATGTAGATAAAAATAAAATGCAATGATGTGCAAATCATTTAAAAACTATATTCAATTTAAAACAGTAAAAAGACAACAAATCCAATGTTGAAACTCAGAAATTTTAATTATTACAGCGATTGCTCTTCTCAGTTCCCAAATGCTTACAGAGTGTTGTTAAAGAAGAGGTGATGAAACACAGTGGTAAACATGCCCCGTCCCAACTTTTTTGGAATGTGTTGTTGGCATTAAATTTAAAAAACAATAAAATTTCTCAGTTTCAACATTTGATATGTTGTCTTTGTAGTATTTTCCTTTAAAAATACGGCTTAAATGATTTGCACATCATTGCATTCTGTTTTTACTTACATTTTGCACAGCATCCCAGCTTTTTTGGAAATGGGGTTGTATTTATATTTGACTTCATTAATTCTGTTTAGACTCCAGACTTTTAATTTTCTATTTTAAAATGTTAGGTTATGTGAGGCTGTATTCTAAAATTGTGAGGTACAGTACTGTGAAAAAGTATTTACCTCCTTCCTAATTTCTATTTTTGCATATTTTTCACACTTTGATGTTTCAGATCATCAAACTGCTTATAATATTAGTCAAAGATAACCCAAGTAAACACAAAATGGTGATTTCATTTATTGAAGGAAAAATACTGTTCAGCCCTACCTGGCTCTATGTGAAAAAGTAATTGCCCTCTGAGCTACTAAATCAACCAATTAACCAAATTCAGCTGACTATTGGGTTTGATTTCACCAGCCACACCCAGGCATGATTACTGCCAGACCTGTTGAATCTAAATAGAACCTGTCAGGCAACGTGAAGCAGGCAAGAAGATCTCAAAAAGTGGCACATGATGCCATGTTCTAAAGATGCCATTGCTAAGGCTCTGGGACTCCAGCAAACCACAGTGAGAACCATTATCCACAAATG